TGGCAATTACTGTAAATATCTCTGTTCAAGTTTGTATTTTCTCTAATCATGGTAATATTATTGTAAAGCTACCACAACGACTGCTTATATTCAAAATGTTTTTAACTCATTGTTGTAATTTCATGATGAATGGGATAGGGGCCGCTGCGCGGTCCAGGTGCCCAGTTGTTTTTAAATAAAGTAAGTAAGTAAGCACAGCGCAGCGCATGAGTCAGTAGTTTTTGCCTCTGACTCATTTCAGCCATTTGGTGAGAATTAAAGTGCATGCGCTTTTTGTAAAAATGTTCGATTTGACCCGTGTTTCTTATGATGGTTTAGTTTGCTTCCTAGCAGTTTTTTACCCTGTTTCGATTCGATTTCATTGTTTATTTGGTCAGGTACGTTTGTGAATTAGTTCTTAATCGTAAATTATTTATTAATTTGAAAAAACAGTTGATTTTCTTTCATTCGTATTTTGATGCCACCAACAATGTCGGTTAACATAAAGAAGTGCATTCAATACAGTGTCACGTACTTGAAGTTTAGATTTGTTCAATCGCCCTCGAACACTCAACTACCCATGAATTTATTTTATAACAAAGTTTAATATAATGAGACAATGGAGCCTTCTCGTTAGCAGAAGCATTTGCAAAATATTCATCCTCACAAACAAAATAAAGATTTGCCATTTTTCTTGAATATCAAAGACAAGTTTCTGAAGGCACCTTTAGCCTCAGACTTACTGACAACCTAATCACAAAAATGCAATGATGGTTTGATAAGTTCTTATAATATATCAAAATTAATTGCTAAATCTGGGAAATGTCATGCCATCGGCAAAGAATTGATACTGCCGGCTGTTAATGAAGTTTTAGGAACAGTTTTACACTATCCAGCCTCATCCGATTTAATCAAAAATATCCCTTGCAATAGTGGGTCGACATGGTGGGTTTTTCGCCGTTTTGAAGAGGGTGGTACCAGATATTTTAGCAGTTTACTGCGTGATTCACAGTCAGTATTTAATAAGAAAAAACCTCAGCTACCGTTTGCATCAGTCATTGCAATATGTTATATCTGCTGCAAACAAAATTCGCAGTAATGTTCTCAATGATTGATTACTCAGACAGCTGTTTAAGAAAAACTATGAAGAATATCGCTTGCTACTACACCGTGATTCGCTGGCTTTCCAAAGGAGCCTTGTCTCAATAGGTTCTTGAATATTTTTGACTCTGTGCTTGAGTTCCTCGAAGACAGAATGTAGCTCTGAGAGACAGATTGCTAGAATTTAAGATAGACGTTGGTGGATTTACTTGCAAAATTAAATGGTGTTAATTTGCAACTTCAAGGTGACAAACTCAATTTGATCTCTATGAAATCAGTTATTTCTACATTTCTAAAAAAACTTATTTTTTGGTAGCAGAAATTTGGTTGGAATGAGTTCAACCAATTTCAAATCTTATCGTATCTTGAAAAGAATGGCGAAATTTCCTCTGATGATACACAAGAATATAGTTAACATCTTGACTCTTTGCACATGGACTTTTCTGACAGTTATAAGTATGTTTTGTTCTGTTTCCTTCAATGGGTTATTAACCCTTTTTTGAATATTGAAACAGAAGAGGTTCAGATTCAGGAGGAATCGGTCAAACTTTCAACTAATGAAGCTTTGAAATGGTGATAACTCACAGAATTTTG